TTTCTTTCTTTCTTTTTTCTTTCTTTCTTTCTTTCTTTCTTTCTTTCTTTCTTTCTTTTTCTTTCTTTCTTTCTTTTCTTTCTTTCTTTCTTTCTTTCTTTCTTTCTTTCTTTCTTTCTTTCTTTCTTTCTTTCTTTCTTTCTTTCTTCTTTCTTTCTTTCTTTCTTCTCTTCTCTCTCTCTCTCTCTCTCTCTGTCCTCTCTGTGTCTCTCTCTGTTCTCTCTCTCTCTCTTCTGTGTCTCTCTCGCTCTCGCTCTCACTCACTCACGCACGCACGCACGCACAAACACGGGCACATAAATGCAGATGTACACATACACTCACACTCTCACACTCAAAATCACTTCTTCCCTCCTTCACTCACTCACTCACTCAATTACTTACACACTCACTCACTCAATTACTTACACACTCACTCACTCAATTACTTACACACTCACTTACTTACACACTCACTCACTCAATCACTTACACCACTCACACTCAATCACTTACACACTCACTTCACTCAATTACTTACACACTCACTCACTCAATTACTTACACACTCACTCACTCAATTACTTACACACTCACTCACTCAATTACTTACACACTCACTCCTACGCACTCACTCACTATTTCTTATCACCAAAAAGTTAAGGAATTCCCTCTATATATATGTGTAGTTTACTTGATTCGATGCATAGAAAGATTGTTATTCTGAATGTTTCTCTCAGCATCTTCCTGAATTCTTGATATTATTCATGGTTAGTTCCTTTCTTTCCTCTCTCTATCTCTCTTCTCCTTTCTTCCCCCTTGCCTGCTGTCTTTCCTTTCTCTCTCTTTCATTCTTCCTTGTCTCTTCCTTCCCTACCCTTCTCCTTGTCTCCCTCCTTCCTTCCCTTGCACTTTTTTCTTCTCTCCCTACCCTATTCTTACCCTTCCCCCTATCCCCCTCCTCTGAATACCCTTCCTACCCTCCCTTCCCTCCTTCCCCCGCTTCCCCTTTCCTCTTTCCCCTCCCTCCCGCCTCCCTCCCCTTCCTCCTCCTCCTCCCTTCCCCCTTTCCCTTCCCTCCCTCCTCCCTTCCTCCCTCCTCCCCCTCTCCTTCCCTCCTCCTCTTTCCTCCCCTTCCCCCCTCCCCTTCCTCCCTTCCCTCCTCCCCTTCCTCCCTTCTCTCCCCCTTCTCCCTTCTCTCCTCCCCTTCCTCCCTTCCTCCTCCCCTTCCCCTTTCTCTCTCCCCTTCCTCCCTTCCCTCCTCCCCGACACCCATCCTCCCTACCTTGCCCTTTACAATACACGCTCCAGTTCTATATCCGTAATCATCCCCTTCCCCTTCCCCTCCCCTCCTCCCATTCTCTTCCCTCCCCCTTTATCCCTTCCTCTCCTATCCCCCCCCTTCCTTCTCCCCCATTCCCCTCCCCCTTCTTCCCTCCCCTCTCCTCCCCTCCCATTCCCCTCCCCCCTCTACTCCCCCTCTTCCCCCTTGCTCCCCCCCTCCCCTTCTATTTTACCCTCCCCTACTCCCTTTACCCCCTCCCTACTTTACTTTCCACTTTTCCTTCCCCCATCCCTCTCCCCTCTTTCTTTCACTCCCCCCCCTTCCACCCTCCTATCCTCCCCCACCCCTTCCATCTTCCCCATTCCATCCTCCCTTGTTCTCCCCTTTCTTCTACCCTCCCATCCCTCCCTCCCTCCCCTCCCCTCCATCTTCCCTCTTCCTCCCTCTCCCCTTCCTTCCCTCTCCCTCCCTCTCCCCCTTCCATCTCCATCTTCCCTCTCCCTCCCCTCCCTCCTTCCCTTCCCTCTCCCTCCCTCTCCCCCCTTCCATCTTCCCTCCCCCCCTTCCATCTTCCCTCTCCCCCTTCCATCTTCCCTCCCCCCCTTCCATCTTCCCTCCCCCCCTTCCATCTTCCCTCCTCCCCTCCCCCTCCCCCTACTACCTGGCTGTCAGAGGTCGCGGAGAGGACGCGGGGACGCCGAAGAAGCCCAACCTGTCACACGCGAGTCCGTGCCCTCATGATTGGCTGGCTCGGTAATGCGAATGTTAACGTGAATGGGAATGGATGTCATTAAGTGGGTCCGCGGCCTCGGATCGGCGAGTCTTCGGTGTCGGGTGGGCGGCTCGTGTGAGGTCGCGTCTATCGTTTCGGAGGCTTGATAGATGGCTGGTTTATTTATTTTTTTGTTTGTTTGTTTATTGTTAATTATTAGTTTGATGGGATTAAGCCAATTGGATTAGGTGCTCTTGAGGTCCCGCGAAAGCCAGTCAGTCAGCCGAGCGGATGTCTTCTCTCCACGCAGGGACCCGCAAGGAGCTTTTCCCTTCGTGAAGACGCTGCAGATGAGGTGCGAATGAAGCCCGTCTTGCCCACGCCCCCCTCTCCCCTCTCCCCCCTCCCCCCTCCCTCCCCCGCGCGTGAGCATCCACGGGGAGTGTATGAATGAATGGAAAAATTCGTTCCCACCGGTCCGCCTCTGTTGCAGGTGTTGCACTGCGGCTCAGCAACATCCGGGGCGCAAACGTTTGGCGGCTGCGCGTATGCGTGCGTGGGGCTCCTCCTCCTGTGCACGTGCGGGGAGGCTGTGCAGGGCCTTCGCACGTGTCGGTGTTTGCATTTGCGTCTGAATGTGGATGTCTCGGCGGATACTGGTGTCTGCCTGAGTGTGACGTAGATGAAAGAGTGCGTGTGCGCTGGCGGTGACGGTGCGGCGGTGCAGGAGCGCGGGGGGCGGGGGAGGTTGCGCGGCGGCGGCGTGGTGTTCGTGTGGTGGAGCGGCAGTGTGGTGGCTGGTGTGTCTCGCGAAGGATGTTGTGGTGCGCAGCGCGAAGCCGTCGCGGCGTGGTGTAGTGCCGTGATGCTGCCCTGCGGTGTCCTCGTGCAGGAGGTCGTGCCGCCCGCCGCCGCCCCTCCGCCGCCCGCCATGTCCGCCCCCGCTGAACTCTCCTCGTCTCGCCGCCGCGCGCCCGCCGCTAATAACACTAACAATAATAACAGTGCCGCCCATGTCGCCTCTCCTACCGCCTCCCTCGCTCCGGCCACCACGGGCGGCGGGGCTCAGGGGCGCCGCCCCCCGTCACCTCTAACAGTTCCTCTCCGCAGTCACCGGGCCCCCCTTCGTCCCCCTGTCCTCACCCAAGGCGCTGGGTCCTCGCCCATGACGTCCCCGCGCCCCAGAGAGCCACCGCCCGCGCGTCGCCCTCGTGTATGTCCCCAAAGCTGCCCCCTCCGCCCTCCCACCCCAGCCCTCACCGTGGGCGCCATTCTCCAGTCCCCGGGCTTCGGGTGCCACCCACGCCCGTAGTCCCACCCCTGGCACAGCGTCCCCCGCCCTCGGCCGCCGGGGCAATGGGTTCCCTGGGTCGGCCGCCTCCTCGCCTGTGTCGGGAGGACACAGCCGAGGCTCGCCCTCCGCGACGCCCAATCCAACGCCCACACCGCCTCTAGCTGCACCAGCCGTCCCGCAGGCCGCCTCCGCCGCCCACGGAGTCACGCCCGCGCTCAACCCTGTCAGCACCGTCAGTTCTACCCTCGACACGACCACGAGTTCAACCTCTAGTAAGACCCAAAGCACGGCCCCAATCAAAGCTCCAGGCACAGCCCCAATCAATCCAGGCACAGCCCAATCAAGACCCAACCACAGCTCCAATCAACCCCAACCACAGCTCCAATCAAGACCCCAACCACAGCCACAGGCACAGCCCAATCAAGGCCCCAGCCCCACAGCCCCAATCAAGACCCCAATCAAGACCCCAACCACAGCCACAGGCACAGCTCCAATCAAGGCCCCAACCACAGCCCCAGGCACAGCCCCAATCAAGGCCCCAACCACAGCCCCAGGTACAGCCCCAATCAAGGCCCCAACCACAGCTCCAATCAAGACCCCCCAACAGCCACAGCACAGCTCCAATCAAGGCCCCAACCACAGGCACAGGCCCAGGCACAGCCCCAGTCACAGCCCAAGGCACGGGCCCTAGCACGGCCCAAAGCACAGCCTCCAGCACGGCCCCCAGTAAGCCCCAGAGCACGACCACTGCTTCGGTCTCCAGCAAAGTTCTCGGCACGATTGCCATTATCGGCTCGAGCAAGGGCTCCGCCGCAGCCCCCGCCAAAGCCCCAGCCTCGAGTGCGCCTACCAAGAGCACCAGCACAGCCTCCAGCACAGCCTCCAGCACGGGAACGAACGCCAGCTCGGGCAGCGGCGCCGCCACGGGCGCCACCAGGAAGGGCGTCTACACGCGCAGCCCGCGTCCCCCTCCGCCGCACCGCTTGATCCGCCAGCACTCGCTGGCCGCGGTTTTGGGGCTTTTCCGCGGGCGTGACGAGCGCGGGATCGGGGGCGAGGGGGGCGAGCACCCTCCCGAGGACTGGCCCACAGTACGCGAGGAGCCGGAAGAGCTGGAACGGTCGTCCTCCAGCAACAACTCTCGCTCACACTCCATCCCGTCCACCTCGGTGCCGCACCTGCCGCAAGACGCCCGACGGAAACGCCGCAGCTCATGCCACACCGACATGACAGGCTCCTCGCTTGCGGGAGGCGGCTTCCCCCTGATCCCGCACCTGCCGCACGCCATCAAAAAGAAACCTCTGGCCAACGAGGCCGCTGCCGCCGCCATCACTACCCGCCGCTGCTCGCTGACCCTGCCCTATGCCACGCTCTACGGCTCCTGGCAGAGTACAGGGTCCGCGCCCGGCAGCCGGCACGGCAGCAACGAGATGCCCTCAGGGGGACCGCCTGCGGCACGGCGAGGGGGCTCCGGCCCTTCGGTGACGGTGGAGATGACCCACATGGGCGGTGCTGGCGGGGCGTCCTCCGGCCCCGCCGCCTCCACCATCGCCAACAGCTGCTACGTGGGCATCTCGTCCCCCGTGACCATCTCCTCAGGCGTCACCATTACCTCCTGCTCCTACATGACCACCTCGTCCTCCACTGTCCCCCTCCTCCAAGTCCCCTCCCCCGCCCCCCACAGCCTCCCGGGTGAGTCCGAGACTCAACTCCTCGCTTGCTCCTTGCAGAAAGTGCCCATGAAGGACTTCGGGTCGGAGGTGCGCGCCTCCATGGACATCGCGCACTTCCTGTCCCAGGCGACGCTTGTGCTCGACGTGGTGGAGACGTCCCTCGAGGGCATCACCGACCTCCTCCTCACAAAGCTGCTCGAGAAGGACGAGCCTCTGTGCTCCGTGGCCGAGGCCAAGTCCATTCTCTTCACCCACGACACCTGTAAGTACCCGCTCACCTGTATGCCGTTGCCTTTTGCCTGA